TATATAAAAGAGGGGATGGTAATGTGTGTGTAGACAGTGAGTAATTGAACTGTAGTCACACGGTATTGTTGAAGTTAACGTCCGTTCGTTACAGTGTTGTTTTAGCGCGAGTATTGAGATTAAGTGTATCGCAGAGTTATATTCGGAAAGAATAAACCAGTTTTATTAAGTAAAGACTTGTGTCGTTAAAGTTTCGTCGGAACGAAGTTAGGGAAAATCAATTAACAAACGGAGACGTAACACTATGATAGGTCAGAAGTCCTGTCATGTAAGGACAAACATTAAGACCAATCGGGCCAGAAATAATATCGTGAGTGATATTCTTAAATACATCTTTCAGGTAATTCCTACATAAAACAGAAGATTCTTTCAGGAAATGATTACATAGTAAATCTGAATTCTGACTTTAGGTTTCAACACTTAAGAGACTGAAGATTGTGTAACAAAGAGAAAATCAATCTTTATTTCTCAAAACACAATCAAAGTTACGAGTCCTCTGACAAAGGACAATGCCTCACTAATGAGCCATAGAACAATCTGCTGGATGAATCAACCCACTGGTATGTTGGCCCAAATCTATCTATTCTAGACTGATGACCTAATGTATAAGCGATTCTGTAATACCATCCCTCTCAGTGTGCATGTGCTACCCACATCAATGATGGTCATTCCGTTGAAAAATAAGGGAAGATGTAATCTCAAGGTATCACCTGACTTGCCAGTGGAAAATATCATTATCTATTCTAATTCTATCTCGCCCACTGAATGCATTCCGCGTCATGGGCAAAATTTCACCATTGAATTATAAACATTATAGAAAATACACTTGGAATATACTTTCATACATAGAAAATTTATTCAGGGTTTAAATTTATTCAAGAAAAGGTGTTATTTACTTATATTTATTCATACAAAATTATATCACTAATTTCGATTACGGGTTGATTACAGTGCTTTCGGAAACCATTAGCGTTTCTGAAGTTCCTGACCTTTATTCAGAGCATAATACGGCACTAGTAGTCCCATAGAAGGAAAGCCAAAACAGTTTTGAACAAAATATTTCTAATTTTACCGGTGGACAGCAGATAGCCCAATGTGGCTTTCCTACACAGAACACACGGATCTTGCAATTTGAACACAATATAGTTTTATTGATGTTTTGTCAATCATTGTTTTTCAACCTCGGTTGTCATGGTGTGATGTAATTGCCTGTACCTCATCTCGAGAAGTCATAGGCTAGAGAGCTAAACAAGTAACAAAAGCAATTTTTGAGTTCCTTTCAACTGTATAGGCCAATTTGGCTTCAGTTCAGGGGAGATTTGGGTAAAGCTCAGAACAATGTTATAAAAACCTAGCTTTATGGCATGTTGCTATAAGAAAATATGTTTGTGAACAATTTCTGCCACAATCAGAATTCTGATTTATATTAAAATTTTTTTATCTTTTCATACTTCATTTGAATTAGGATAAACCCACTTTGTTAGTGACATTGAGCTATGTAAAAATATAGGTGATATGTATACAGCTCACCCGTTAGTAACTGCTTGAATGAGTAAAGAAAATAAACATATATATTTACATGTGAATATAAAACGGGTTTAATTTAAATTTATTACCAACGTTAAGCGAAAGCTTCTTTGCTTACAATTTTTGTATGGAAAAAAGTTATTTTTTTTGTACACCAGAAATCGTACATTCAGTGAAACTGAGTGTACTATTTTTCAAATCAAAACAAAGAAACAATTTACAGTTTTATAGCGTGAAAAATTTACAGGAAACTTTTCTGAAAATTTAGAAAGACATAAAAATCAATAATTTAAATCTACAGCAAGGGTAAGCATTTTTAATTGTTTCATAAGAAGATATTGTTACGA